TTCACTTTACGCGTTTCCACGTTTACGCGATACCCTGCCAAAACCGGAATGCTCACTTTCCGCAGTGTGTGTGTACCCTTTTACGCGGAGAGCGGCGCGAGCAGGGTGCGCACAAGGTCGCCCAGTCATCAAAACATTACCGAGTTCTTCACCTGCCACCCACCACAGTCGGCCCAAGTCAGTGATAGTGAGGATGGACTTATATGGACTTTGAGGGGTTTGACAAAGAGGCCCTGCAAGCCTCTGTGGTGGATAGTGATACAATTGATACAAGTGATACAGGTGAGGGCCAATAATCTGCCCTCTGCCTCAGAACCAACCCCCCATCCCCGTGTGCCCAGCCATCTTTTCTACTAATGTAAGTGTTAAAAAAACCTAATATTATTGATATTTCTCTTTAATTGTGTGTGCATACCATCATAAAATTAAGAAGTTATTTTACTACAACGTAGGTATTGTGTCTGAAAAAGTGGAGTTTGGGGGTCGGCTCGGTCTCTATTTCAATTAATCCCATATGTTATGTTGTTCACTTTACGCGGGCCGCCGTGGGTTCAATTGACCGCGTAAAGTGAGGGTTCACTGTATTGTATTACAATAAGCACATCTAATACCCCTACAGAAGTAAAAACTGATATTTTCAAATTCACTCAAGGAAAACTGTATGAGTTGATTGTTGGTTGGCATAGAGAGATAGTGGGCAGAACAAACTGTTGCTCACAGCCTATTTTACTTATGGCTGAGGCATAAATCAATCTACAACATATATACAACTTATGTGGTACTTAAATATCACACCAATTTTTGCCCCATGAAATCAGTTTGATATGCAAGGTTTATGAAAAATGTACACCCCGACTAGGTTCCAATGTTGGAAAAACAGCCAACAGTAAAATAAGCAAATCTATTATCCCTGTATGATATAATATTTGTCAAGTTTCCAAGTATTTCATGGAAACCTGAGTTGGTTTCACAAAGTGACCATCCCAGTGTTGAAGAATGAATTAACATCACAACCCCAGCCTGTGGAGTGGGAAAATGGTTTATTGTAAGAAATCTAATTTTATGCCCAAGAAGAGATGAGTAAAAGTGAGATAAGTTTCCAGAACAACCCTCACTTACATTCTTGGGGCAAGAACACTGTCTTATCAGATCAGTTCAAATGCTGAAGAAATAGAAAGGCACCCAGTTTGATCAGGATTATAAAGCAAACTATGAACTTGATCTAGTGCTTGTTTTGAAAGTCTTTGAGTCAACAGGTACAATATGATAATCCATGAGCTAGTCTGCTGAACTCTAGTCTTTGGTTCAGCACCAGTGGTATAAACAAATCATTTTCTGTTGAAGAAAACCCACATCACTATACCGTACACGTTTGTGTAACACACAAAATGCAGAAAATATAATCATGTCAAGAATGTAACACAAAATTGTTAAGAAATGTAACAAGTTAACCAGCCACTTTTGCTTGGAAGCATCAAGGACCATGAGAAAACATGCATAGATAAACCTGACCTACTTCAATGCTTTATACCAGTACACTGAATCTATAAAGCTACAGTACATGAAAACATCCTTGAGCTGTAGGAAATGAAATCTAACATTACTAAATGGTACTACAAGAGGTCCACAATTAGTAGAGCTTATCCAGTGAGTTGAATGTATGCAAAGAGGCACAAGAGTGAATGGGGGTAGGCTGGTGCATGTTCCTTCCTGGACATTACATTCATTTGTGAATGTTTAGATGTTTTGCTCATCCTACTGAACCTATGCACTTTCCTATAATCTCCATTCGTAGGGTTGCTGGTGTGTTATCCACGTTGGATGTGAGTACGGCGCATGGAACAGACGGAATACACCCTCGTGTTCTGAGGGAGTGTGCTGAAATTCTAGCCCCTGTGCTTGCTCGCCTCTTTCACCTTTGCCTCAAAACCCAAACTTTTCCTTCTTCTTGGAAGCATGCCTCCGTTCAGCCCATCCCGAAGAAGGGTGATCATTCCAATCCCTTTAACTATTGCCCCATTGCCCTAACTTCATCCCTCTCTAAGATTTTTTAAACCATCTTGAACTCTCATTTTCTCCGTCACCTTGAACGCTTTTCTCTTTTGTCGGATCACCAGTATGGCTTTCGCCAGGCAAGGTCTACTGGTGATCTGCTCTCTTACTGCACCCATCTTTGGTCATCCTCTCTTAGAGATTATGGGGAAACTTTCGTCGTGGCCCTTGACATGTCCAAAGCATTTGACAGGATATGGCACGTCTTTGCTTTTTAAACTTCCTTCTTATGGTTTCTCTCCCCCACTTTGTTCTCTAATTTCTAGCTTCCTTGAGAACCGATCCATGGCAGTTGCTGTTGAGGGATCGATCTCTCGCTCTTTCTCTTCCAACAGAGGTGTCCCACAGGGTTCTATTCTTTCACATACTCTCTTCCTTCTTTTTATCCACGATTTACTTCACACTACAACTAATTCTATCCGTTCTTACGCTGATGATTCTACGCTTCACACTTCTTCACATTTTCCCCTTCCCCCTAATTCTCGAACTAGATCTGTTTTTAGAGATAATATCATTTCATATATCAATGCAGATCTGTGCAGCATCTCCGAATGGGGAGGTAGAAATTTGGTTAAATTCAATACTGTAGTAATATAACACAGTACAGTACAGTATTTACTAATTACACTTTCCAAATTAGACTATCTCCCACCAATCACTTTTCAGGACGCAATCATTCTGCCAAGTTCTAAAATAGATATGATAGGCCTACGCATTTCCACTAATATGCCATGGGAGCCACACATCCACAACATTGCTAAAGCTGCCTCCCAAAAACTGGGAATGCTGTACAGATGTTATAGCTACTTCACTCCTGAGCAGTTGCTTCAAGTTTACAAGGGTTTCATTCATCCTAACTTGGAGTACTGCTCTCATATCTGGGGTGGCTCTTCTTCTGTCCAACTGTTAGATAGGGTGGAATCAAAGGCATTTTGTCTTATTTAACTCTCCTCCTTTAGTTGATAACCTTTCTTCCCTTTCTATTTGCTGCAGATGTTGCTTCACTCTCTCTCTCTTTTACAGGTACTGTACTTTAACGGGCAATATTCGGAGGATTTGGCATCCTGTGTACTGCCGGCAAGGCCATGGGCTCGTAACACTCGTCTTGCCCGCAGTGCCCACCGTTCCTCTGAGGGTGTAGGTCACAATAGAATAACCCATTATCGTACATCCTTCTTTCCTCACACAGCCAAACTGTGGAATGCTCTGCCATCTTCTGTGTTTTCACACTCATACAATTTGTCTCACTTTAAAAAGCTTGTTTTCAGGCATCTTCTTGTCCATTTTTTTTATTTCTTTTTACTCTTATTTTTTCGCCCCCCTAGGCCCCGTTGTGGGTCGATGACCTGTGCCCGGGTGGGATATTCCCATAAAATAAAAAAAATTTCCCTCTGCATTGGCATGGTCCATGCACATCTTACAACACTTGCATCCTAATCATGGAGCATAATTGGGGCAAATTTTGCTGAAGCATATAAAAAAATGGAAAATCCTGAAAAGGAGGGGACAATGTGGGAAATAGGTAATTGTACAATGTCTCCCCTCTCAATTAACCCATACAGCTCCTCCCCGACTTACGACCTACTCGACTTACAACCACCCGGACATACGACCGTCTCCGTCTTACCAAAATTTTTCAAATTACGTATTTTTGAGTCCCAACGTCAGTGATTGCGCTGTGTACTGACAAAATTTTCGTTTGTAATTCACTTTAAAATGGCTGGCAAGCTTAAAAGTGAGTTTTGTGGTGCTGAGAAGAAAAAGAAACACCCATTTTAGATTTTTTATGTATTATTTAAGCATTTTCGACTTACGACCTGCATTTGGGTCCTTAACCCTGTCGTAAGTCGGGGAGGAGCTGTATATGGTCAATGATTTAACCCAAGGTGTACCCAGATGATAAAAGATTTTCCATATTCTTTTTGTTGGCTAAAACCCCAAGGGACCCCCCAAAGGCTCACAGTAAAAGTATAAAGCACACCTATTAGCTCCTTGCCTGATTTAAAGGTTCCAAGCAGTCGGGCGCTGCCATGCACGCAGTGTCATTCGTAGGTACTAGCATGTCTGCTACCACTTCTAATTCCTTATGATACTTACTTATCAGTATAACTATAAAATTAGTTCTATTTTTACACTATGTACACTGGAGGCACAATGTTACGTGTCAGCTAGTATCCTGAAAGTTTTCACTGGGAGATGTGGCAACACCGCAATGTGGAAGGTTGGAACACAATACTCCGCCCTTCACACACACACTATCTTGTCTCTGTTTTTTATGGCCTCCACACACTCATCTATTTATGGCCACGAGCTGCCAAGTATAGAAAATTAGTTATTCTAAAAATCTGCACCCATAGGAGCCCTTAGCAAAGTCCACAGAACCCTAGCTCAACACTGACAAACTATGTCAGTGACCAATTAGCGTATGGCAAAGGATAACGAAATTTACGTCAGTGACCATTAAGAGGCGAAGGGACCTCCCTTTCAAGCAAATAATTCTGCCAAACTACAATGTTCAAGTAAATTGCTACAAGCTTTTTAGTTTGGTTTATTCTTCCTCCATAAAGCAAGTTATTTTGCAAGCTTAATAATTATATTGTACCTTAAGGTAAATTTTGCACAATTCCATAATCAACCATCAGGAAACTTATTGGTCATCCAGGAGCAACTGTTTCACATTTGAATTCCTTCTCTCATACTTTGAGTCAGGTACTGCCATCCTATGAAGATAACTATTCTACTTTGTCATATAACTTTTTCTTATAAGAGAATAAGCATATACTGTACAAGTTCCTAATACTTTTACATGCTCAAGTAGACCGTGCTTTAACCATTCACATTCCCCTTGCAGTAAGAAATCCTGTGTATGCCAATGATCAATATGCCTCAGTTTAAATAGTCAATGAAATTTTAGCATAATTATTAGTGCTTGATAATTAAACAATTACCTATAGTAGTCTGGTAGTTAGTGTTGAAACGATTATAGATGAAGCGTTCAACAAGGCTGGTCTTGCCACATGCAGCTTGCCCAAGCATAACCACCTTCATGTCAACTTTTCCAGACATGTTTCACTGGAAAAAAAAATTTATTCACTTATTATTTGTTATTTTCAGGGGAAAAGTAATAGGAATGCTAAAACAAGAAAAGATCAATGACAGTTACTCATGATGCACATCATGTAATACAGTAAAGACGCCAACTACTGAACCACCCGTGTAATGACATCCAAATTATGACAAGAATTTGGGAAAATATTTAAAATTTTGAAAAAATAGACCGCGCGTCATTGTTATTGATGTGGAGAGACGCGGCATGGACCACATGGTCCTGCCAGCACAGTAGGCATCACAACAATACAGCCACACTCCACTCTGTCCACGTTTGACTATTACAGCCCAGTCATGCCTGTTCTCTTGAGACATAAATAACAAACATTGTGAGAAGAATGCCCAGGCAAGTACGATTGGGTAAGGCCCCAAAGAGCAAAAAGCACCTTACCATGAAGGATAAACTTGAAGTGCAAGCCATGGTCGACAATAAATGTTCAGTTCCCATTCCCAAAATAATGTTGAAATTTGGAACTCTGAATTAACTGAAAGCATATCATAACTGCTTCACTTCATCTCCAATGAAAGTGAAAATGGGTCTCATACATACTCGCATAACCTTCACTACAAAACACACTTTGTCAGGCAGTTGTGGCCTTGAGCTAGCTATACATGTTGCCAATGATTCATGTATGTATTGAAACTGTAAAAATTTTGGGAAAATCATCTCAGTACTTAGAAATAAAGGTAATATAATATAAAACTATACAAAAGAAAAATGAACAGCATGAGTGTGAACAGAATTCTTGTGGGTGAGTGAATGTAACTATGGATGCATCATGCTCTTCCCAATGTGACGTCACGGCATACACTCAAAAGCAATTCTTAACCTTTTCACAAGTTAGGAAAGGTTAGATAAAGTTTTCAAAGGCTTGTTTGGTGTTTTTTTTAGTATTTTGTCCCACATTTTCCCTCCACTTCAAAGCCGTGCCCACTCTGAACAATCGTGTTGGTAATTGAGGTGGTAAATTTGCAACAAAAATGTAATAGAATAAAGTGTTCTTCTATTACACTTTTTCCCCATATATAAAAATACAGGGGCCTCCCAAATTCGTGGGGGTTATGTTCTTAAAATGGCCGTGAATCGCCAAAACAACAAATAACATTTGCGGATCATGGGGAGGGGGGGCGGGGGGTTACATTTTTACTTGTGTACAAAGAAATGTATATTCCCTTTGTGTTTGCCCTTATGACAATTATTTCTTTTACCTGTAGTATTGTATATGTGCGTGTGTGTGTGTGTGTAGACACACACACACAACACATACAAATAAATAATAATTGGAAAATACTCTCACAAATAATCAGAAACAAATTTATTAAAAATATGACTGTCTACCCTCAAGCCCATGCTTTAATAAATAAAGCACGAACTTGAGGGTAGACTGTCACATTTTTAATAAATTTGTTTCTGATTATTGGTGAGAGTATTTTCCAATTATTATTTATTTGTATGTGTTTACACATATTTACAATACAAGTACAGGTAAAGGAAATTACTGTCTCTAGAACAGAATGGCTCCCTGTCCCAGCCTCAAAAATGCCGGCAACTTGAAAACTACCCACAGACATTCTTGGGTACATCCAGGGTGTCATCTGCGAATAACTGAGAACTGTGTAGTAAAAATCTGCTAACTTGGGGGAGGGGGGTGGGGTATACTGCATGGGTATTTGGACCTTGACTGTTGCTTGTTTGGCAGACAATATTGTTCTAATTTTGTTCAATACTTTGGAAGTGCTTAAAAATCTGTTTTTTCAACTCTTGAGCTGAGAATTGCAAAGTAAAAAAAAAAAAAATATTATTACGACCATTTTCCATTGAAAGGAACAAATATTAAGGAAACTGAAAACGAAATTGCCACCAATTCTTACCTGGAAGCGTAACTGGGGGCTCTGCCCCCCAATTTGTAAATTAACCAATCGTAACCTAACCTTGGCTAATCCAACCTTACCATTCAGAGGGGCTGGGATGATACCATATTCAGTTGATAGCTTTCCCCACTAACAAAAACTAATTGGTAAAATTATCATTTCGGTTATCCAACGAGTTTTAGGATTTTAAGTTTTGGAATCAGTAGTTTAAACAACTCTAAGACACTTCTTCTGTAGCATTTCTTCCACTCATGATTACTTCCAGAGAAAATAGCATTTTTTTTATCGTCGTATTTTTTAACAAGCTGTTGGAAGTTGAAATTATGTTTTTCCGCTGGTTTTTTATGTGTTTTGTGCAAATCTGACCTTCATTTTTTTAGATAACCCCCCTTATTCAACAATAATAGGGGAGCCCCAGTGGGAACCAGGGGTTTTGGGTTAGGGAAAATCACAAAAAAGTATGTAGCAATTTGCAATAGAAATGAGGGTCAGAATAATCCCTAACCTTATCAAACCCAAACCTAACCTATCCACCTGTGTGCTTACCTTACCTAGACTCAGTGTTGGGGTCATCGGGGTCCTCGCCATCCACAGGTCGCAGCAATTCTCCTTCTACAGTACCAAAGGTGTTTGTCAGCTTTATTACTACAGGGCTGGTTAAAGTTTGTGTAGGGACGTAACCTCAGTTGGCAAAACGCCGTGTTTGTGGGGAAATTTGAGTGGCCCACCGTCCTTACCGTAATATTATACAGGTATGTCTTTTCAGTGGAGGTAACATCTTGCTTCAGACTCTTCAACATAAACGCTTTTTTTCTGTGTTTCCAATCAAATTATTGGTCATTTTGAAATTTATTTTACATATTGACAAAATATAATGCAGTGCAGTGTTGACTTAAAGAAAATAATCTTGAATTACACCAAGTTAACTAAAATTTTATTGGTGAAATGGCACTATGGGTGACTTCTCTTCCACCCCAGAGCCTTCTCTTCTCCCTTCTCCTCCACCCCCATTCTATTTCCCATCATCATCATCCAGGACCCTTCTACATACACACCTCAAAGTAAGTGTACTTTAATACCTTTTTTGTTGACTTTAGGCAATTTTCAGTGAGCTGGAATCAATTACCCAAAACCCATTGAAACAATGGTTTCAGTAAACAAATTTTTCGGTTAACGAGCAACCTTCTAGAACGAATTGTGCTCGTTGACAGAGAGACCACTGCCTGTACTGTATGTTGTGTTGACAAAATAAGAGAAACAATTGAAACCCTGCAATTGCATATAAATGAGGCAGAAAGTCAGATCAGCAACCTGGGGCTTGGTCACAATTTTTGTGATGCCATATGGCAGCAGGGTCTACCATTAGACAATACATTATGCTTCCAATATCTTCCCAGGTGGTAGTATGTCCCTGTTTGATAGCTGCCTACTACCTCTAAACTACCGACTCCAAAACTTAAAATCCTAAATATTGCTGGATGACTGAAACGATAATGCAGTAATACCAACCAATTTCCATAATGAAAAGAACTTTCTAGGTATATTTGCATTTTCAACCAATATGGCTCTCAAGTTGAGCAATGTGTGTTTTTTTTGTGTGTGTGTGTGATTTTATCGATTCAGATACAGGGTACTGATTTTTGTTGGAAATTGCTTGTTTTTGAGATAGCCACCCCACCACTACCAAAAAAGTGATTTCAAACAAAAGTCAATATAAATCAAACAAAACACATAAAAAATCATCAGAAAAAAACATTGCTGAACTCCAAAACCAACCTAACCTAGAATGAATACCTTGGTTTTGTTGCCTTTTCAAACAATTGAATAATATGCGACACATTGCTCAACTCAAGAGCCATATTTATTGAAACTGCAATAATACCCATTCCCACAATTTCAGATTCATTTTCCTCAATATTTGTTGCTTTTCAATGGAAAACGGTCTGTTTCTTTAAGCATCAAATGTTGAGCAATATGAGAACAAAATTGTCAGCCAAACTGAGTTTATTAGAGGATACTGTATCATGTTAAAAAATATATAAAAATGGCTGAAATCATGTGCTATCTAGAAAACGGGTAATATTCGTCCACTGGTTGTCCACAGGTTCCCGCTATGTTTACCCGAGGCTATACTCCTCACTTGCAGTCACTTGTCTCGTTCTTTCCTCCTGCTTCTTGTAGATTAGGTAAGGTAAGTTGGTTCCTTTGTTATGAGTATAGGATTTTTGGTGTTTTACTCAAATCTGGCCTCCATTTTTGTGCAAATTAGCATTTTCTGTTAAATGAATATGTAATTTTTTTGCAAAAAAATGCTAATTTGCACAAGAATTGAAGGTCAGATTTGAGTAAAACACCAAAAAATACACAAAAAAACCTATTCTTATACCAAAACCTGAGGACAGCCAATGGACGAATACTTACCGAGAAAACTAAGCATTTACACATTAAAATTGAATAGAACTGAAAGTAATCAGTATACAAAACCGCGTCTAAAAATATCCTCATAATTACAGAACCGCTGATGGTCACGTCTCATATATTAGCCTTCATGGTATATTGTTTACATGTTACATCACAGCTGATGATGCGACTGTAAGAATGCTCTCGTACATGGCCTATATAAAAAAATTAAGCATTTGCTCAAGAAAATGAACAGAAGTGAAAGTAAACAGCGTACAAAGATTTTCTATGTATTATTTAAGAGTTTTCGACTTACAACCTGGATTTGGGTCCCTAACCCCGTCGTAAGTCGGAGAGGAGCTGTATTTAGTAGTTGCCAACACCTAACTGAATATTGTATTGAGTCATATATAGGGAAGAGAATAAATTAATTTATTCTATAGTGTTTCCATCGGATATATATAGATTTGGAGTTATTTTAATTTATTTTGTAATATTCGGCCAATCAGAGTGAGAGTTGATGTGATGTCATAGTCTTGTGTGCCAATCAGTGCAAGTGCTGATGTGACACGATACGCGTGCAGGTCTCGATTTGTGTACAGTTGGAAAATGGTGTCTGTGTACGAAGGTCGTAGATTGGCTGACTGGCGCATTATTCAGCACGTTTTGGACAATAAAGCAACAGCCGTTGATATTTTTTGGGGCTCACAGTGTTCCTGTTTTATCTGTAAAATGTCCGAGAAGTACTTCAGAGTCAGTACCATGTAGATCGCAATGCATGGTATAATTGCTCCAAGCACATCAGAGACAAGATACCACACTACATCACTTCCTTATTCAAGTCATATCACTGTATCATCCCGTATCTCTTACTTAAGGTAAGTTTCTTACACACTAAGGGTTAGGTTAGGTTTTCAGGTGTTTGCATTTTTTCTCAATATCTCAACAACTCATTTCCAACAGCAAAGAATGTCATTTTTCATTAAACACGATGATTTACACTATAAAAACCAGTTTTCAAAAGTCAATTAGGAGTTGGCAACTACATCATATTAACCCTAACCTAAACTCAAAATCCCAAATTTTGCTGCATGACCGAAATGATAATACTGTACCTGTAACACCGAAAATACAAATATAAACTAACAGTTCACACTTACAGGGAATTTTTCAATTCTCACGGCCGTTAATATATAGGACTAACCCGCGAGCAAGTTATTTTTATTACTGTTTATTTTCTTACAATATTTTCATCAGTGAGTTCTGATATGATAATCATTTATTGTGGAACCCACCAACACAGTAAATCACTCTGCCACCTGGGGTGCCTAGCGCTGATGCGGCCATATCATCTGATGTCCAGAAAATGCCACAAATTTCACCATATCATAGTAAGTTCTTTCTGTTTAATATACCGAGGGGTTCAGGGGGCTGAGGCCCCCCCCCCCTTCCACACGGAAGTAAGGTAATTTTAGGTAGGTTTGTTTGGATAGGTCTGTTTTTCATACCCACAAATGTTATGTAACGTTTAGTTTTAAAATATACATTTTTTAACATATTTCCACAAACTACAAGTGTCCACTATGAGTGTGAAAATCTGGCATTTTTATAATTGTTTTCAGTCAATTTCACTCGCGGGTTAGTCCTATATAATTACCCTCTTAGCTTCGAGGCTAATCCTCCAAAACGTCCCAGTTATGATAGTTGTTCATGGTTACATTATGACTAACACAGTAGTTTCCTGTCCCTATACCATGGAGCCTACGATTTAATCCTATTTCACAAACTCTTCTTACAATACATACCAAGTAAGCCTGCTTTGTTTTCAATGATTTCACATAAATACAAATCAGTGACATCAACCCTTCGTGTGAGAAAAATATGTTACAGTATGCACAGCTCTATCTCACTACGTTGTGTTCACTGATCACTCAACACTCAACAGTCGGATCCGAATTCCTGCAGTTACATGGAAACGTATCCAATGTTTTTTTTTCTATGTTATATATAAAATAAACTAGGGATAAAATTATTCTTAAAACTATAAAATATATAAAACAAAATAATTTGAATTATTTCCGTTTAGGTATTTCAAAGTTTAAATTAACAACGTAAACAAAAGCCATGTATTACGGAACGTATTCAAACACAGACAAGGCCATGCCCTTCTCGGGAGTAACAGACCAACTGGTTCGTTACTTTTACTTTTACTTTTATCCTCTTCGCCACTGATCGGCTTGTTAGCCGCCCGGGCGATCGGTCACGTCTCTTTTCATTTATCTTCTTCACCAAAAGATCGGCTCGCTAGCCGCCCGGGCGATCGGCCACGTCTCTGTCACGCACTGTTGGCAAATACTGGGCATGCACCGGCTCCTGAATGTACCTGAACCCGCTCCAGTGTTGGTCAAGTCTTGTCTTGAAAGAGCTCACACTCGGTGCCGTCACAACACTCTCTGGTAGCTTGGTCCAAGAGTTAAACACTCCGAAAAAGTTTGCCCTCACGGTTTTCTGGACTTGCGGCTTCTTCAATCTTGAGCTGTGACCCCTTGTGGGGCGAGCGTCCGCCAGCTCCAAGTAAGGACACTCAACTGAGTAGTGCCCCCTGAGATGCTTATACACCTCAACTAGGTCCCCCTTGCCCGTCTGTAGTATAAGCAAGGCAAGTTCAGGCGCTCCAATCTCTCAGGGTAGCTGAGGTGCCGAAGTGCAGGCACCAGTCTGGTGGCCCTCCTTTGAACATTTTCAACCAACTGACAGTCCCTAGCATATCTCAGGGACCAGATGGGGTGACAGTACTCCAGATGGGGAAGCACTTCACTCCTGAAGATCGTCACGAGGGACGGACCGTCTAGATATCTGAACTTGCTCTTGTGTCGATAACAACTACTGTATAGCTGTTGTCACCAGTCTGTATTTAATCCCTTAAATTTAAAGGTTATCAAACTCTTCGATTTATGCGAACTTACAGATAACCCTTAAATATTTCCTTAAGATTTTAGCAGATTCGAAAAATAAACACGATTTACGTACAGTAATATAAAAAAGTGGGCAATGGCTCTTCCTGATGCTGCGTCATTAACATTCCTCATCAACTACAGTACAACTATAAGGTTTTAACTCTTATTAGTTAATTCTCATCACAACTGATAGGGCTCGTTAGCCGCTGAGTAAACGGAAAACCCACCGTAGGTCCTAAAAAAGACCTGTAGTGGATTTCTCCCCTACAAACGCTGTTTGTCGCTGAGTAGCCGACCCCACCAATTCCCCAGTGTATGCCTCGTAGTCGAGGTCAACCAGCGCCGCCATACATCACGGAGCGGGGGTCAACTACTAAGCCACGCCTACCCCCGCTATTTAAGACCTGACCTCGTGGTGACCTGTCCTCTTTCTACCTACAGCCGCAGCCAGCAACACCTCCTCCTCCGCCGCTGCCTGGCGGCCCTCGCTCCTCCTCCGCCTGCCTGGCGGCCCTCGCTCCCGCCGGCGAGCATGGCGACCCACAAGCTGTCCTTCTCTGAGCATCCTCATCTACCAGCTCTCTCTACATCACGCTTGTAACCATGCTGCCTTCCCAGCACCAAGCTGCATTGTACATCCAATACAACATGTATATAGAGAGCACATTGTGAGTTTCCTTTCTCCATCCCATCCTGAGTGTGAACCAAACAACCTGAACCCCACAGACCCCTCAAATAAGATGTGTTGATTATTAATATTACGAAGGAAATATATATTTCATACATATAATCATTCAGAAAGTGAATGAAAACGTAACCTTTATTATTTTTATCATGGTGATGAAAAACGTTAAATTTGCATTAACATTCTGCACTCTGGTATGAAGTCTGCAATCTGCATCACTATGCTTTCTGGCACACGTTCGGTACGGGTACTCTCGGTCGAATTCCCATGCTTGGTGCTGGGCCGGGGCCGCAGGCAGCACAGCTCGACAGCACCCACCCTGCATTTGGCCTCAAATTGCTCAGATTTAACAACAACAAAAAATCTCACAAGAGGGCTCACAGCACCCAGCTGTAAAGGCTCGCTACGCTGCCTACTCCCCTCTCTCCGGGTGGAGGGCCGCCACTGTCGATGTTGATAACCCTCCCAAATACACTGCCCTATTTCGAACACTGATACTGTGTACTACTGTACACTACTACCATGTAATATATAGTAGGCAGCTATCAAAGATGGAGGTACTACTGCCTAGGAAGATATTGGAAGCATAATGTTGTAGTGGACGTCTCCCCTACAACTGCCTACAACTGCGTAGCCACAGCCACCACCTGCTACCGCCTTCCCTAGCAACCAACCAGATATTACCGTATCTTAGCAACGGAACCAGGAACCGGCGACTTTCTGGGTTTTCCCAACATGACTCATAGCGGCTGCTGGGTATATAAGCTCTGTCTCTCCATTGAGATTCATTCTGACCATTCTTCTTGAACAAGCAACACCTCCTCCTCCGCCGCTGCCTGGCTGCCTTCGCTTCTCCTCGCCTGCCTGGCGGCCCTCGCTCCCGCCAGCGAGCATGGCGACCCACCAGCTGTCCTTCTCTGAGCTTCCTCACCAACCAACTCTCATTCTGCCCATCTTCCTGAACAAGCAACACCTCCTCCAGCAAGCTCCACGCTGTCAGCATTCATTCAACCAGGAGGCCAGCAACAGGCAACATCTTCTCTAACGAAGCTCCTGCACATCTACCTCCTTCAACACGCTACTCACCGAACGTCTCTACTGAGCAGCTCCTCACCACACGGCATCTCCAGCACCAGACTGTCTATCATATAACTTATATTATACAAGAAAACCACATTAGAGTTTCCTTCCATCCTGAGTGCTAGACAACATTAATATCTCGATACCCCTACAATGTATTGACTAATGGTAGACTGTAGTGGACGTCTCCCCTACAACTGCATATAGACAGTATCCTAGCAACCACACGAGCGGCCCAGGGGGGGGCGTCACCAGCTGCTACCGTATCCTACAACACCGGGGGGTCGAGAAACCGGCGAGTTTCCACGGGTTTACTTCCGGCTGCTGTGTATATAAGCTCTGTCTCTCCATTAAGATTCATTCTACTCTACGTTCCTGAATACGCAACACCTCCTCCAAGCAAGCTTCTCGCTGTCCAGCTTTCATTCAACCTGGAGGCCAGCAACAGGCAACATCTCTAACGAAGCTCCTGTACATCTACCTCCTTCAGCACGCTACTCACCGAACGTGTCTACTGAGCAGCTCCTCACCACACGGCATCTCCAGCACCAGACTGTCTTTCATATAACTTATATTATATAAGAAAACCACCACCTAGAGTTTCCATCCATCCCATCCTGAGTGCTAGACACATAATATCACGTAACCCTACAAGACCCTGCTGCTATATGGCATCACAAAATTGTGACAAAGTCCCAGGTTGCTAATCTGACTTTCCTCCTTATTTACACACAATTGCAGGGTTTCAATTGTTTCTTAATTTGGCAACACAACATACAGTACATATATCGTTTCTCACTATTGATCTTTTTTTAATTTTTGTATTAATTGAAATGCCGAGGTATAATTTGGTTTTACTGCATAGTATTTGTAAACTAGGTGTTCTGATTATTTTGTCCCAAGCAACATTTAATTTGGTAAGTTTAGGAAGATTTTCTTGTATATATTGATGTATTTTTTTTTCTTTTACCCTCTTCACCACTAGGCACTGATTGGCTCGTTAGCCGCTTGGGCGATCGGTCACGTCTCTGTTACACACTGTTGGCAAGTACTGGTCATGCACCGGCTCCTCAATGTACCTGAACTCGCTCCAGTGTTGGTCAAGTCTGGTCTTGAAAGAGCTCACACTTGGTGCAGTCACACCACTTTCTGGCAGATTGTTCCAAGAGTTCACAACTCTCACTCCGAAAAAGTTTGCCCTCACAGTTTTCGGGACTTGCGGCTTCTTCAATCTTGAGCTGTGACCCCTTGTGGGGCGAGCGTCTGCCAGCTCCAAGTAAGGACACTCAACTGAGTAGTGCCCCTTGAGATGCTTATACACCTCAATTAGGTCTCCCCTTGCCCGTCTGTAGTATAAGCTAGGCAAGTTCAGGCGCTCCAATCTCTCAGGGTAGCTGAGGTGCCGAAGTGCAGGCACCATTCTGTTGGCCCTCCTTTGAACATTTTCAACCAACTGACAGTCCCTAGCATATCTCAGGGACCAGACGGGGTGACAGTACTCCAGATGGGGAAACGCTTCACTCTTGAAGAGGGTGATAGTACTCCAGATGGGGAAGCACATCACTCTTGAAGATCGTTACGAGGGACGGACCATCTAGATATCTGAACGACCTTCTTATAAGACCTAATAATTTATTTGCCCCATTTACCTTCTTCTCGCAATGGCCCGAAAACTTCAGCTCATTGTCAACATACACACCTAGGTCCTACTTTCAGTCTCAAATAGTGCAGTTTCTTCATCCCATTGGGACATATGATAAGCCCCAAGCGCATTCTCTTACATTTCGTGACATTGAAACTCGCAGCCGTTTCTTCGACCATTCTTGTAACTCACAGAGATCCTTCTGCAGCTCTTCACAGTCCGCTTGGTTCTTGATTCCCGAAATAACTTGGCGTCATCGGCAAACATTTGTATGGAGGACTGTACAACATCAGGCATGTCATTTATTCAACAAACAAACAATAGTGGGCCGCATACACTGTGGTACCCCGCTTGTGACAGGTACAGATGATGATTTCGTGCCATTAACCACCACACACTGCTTGCGGTCATGTAGAAAGTCTTCTATCCACGCTAGGAAGAATCCCCAAATTCTGTACCCTTCCAGTTTGATTTTCAGCCTTTCGTGGGGTAGTGTTGAAAGCCTTGGCAAAATCAAGGTATATATTGTCAATATTACCACCCCGGTTCCAGAATATGGGTCCAAACATCCAATACCTTGAGCAATTGTGATAAGC